ACGAGCCTTGTCTGCCTTCGTTTTTAGATCATCTGATCTGCCAAGTCACTACGGGCGTTTTTTGTACCTAACAACAACCATTGTAAGCCCGAAAGAAGAGAGACCGATCATAGCGATTGGCATGACAAATGTGTAGCTTAGTAGATCGGTGACACGATGTTTGACATTCTTAACAAGATAAACAACTGAGACAAGCATTTTTAGAAAGTATTTTACCTTTTCCATGTAAATATCGCTAACTTTCGTTTGTAGCTCAGTGGTTTTATTGGCGACTAATATGAGAGCCTAAAATTATGTCAAAGTAATCTTGTTTCTATGCACATATGAATTCATATTTTCTTAGCTATATAGCAGGCGAGATCTTGCATTTAGCGAGCAGAATGGATGCTTACAAACGATTTGGGCAAAGTGACAATCAAAACCAACATTCGACTATATTTTCGCTCGCATTATTTCGCAGTGCTCCACCGGCTCTACAGCGAGTAATAATGGTAGGAAGACCTTATTAACCAAATCCATCAGTGCTGACATAGAGACATTTGCTTCTTCTATCAGTGTGAGGGTTTGGTTTGCACTTACACCAATCTCAAATAAAACAATCTTGACCAACTTTCTATCACTTTCTTACACTGTGATGATATGGTCTAACCTGCTCCATGGTAACAACAGAAGTATTGTGAATGTTAGTGATCCATTCACTAAGTGCGCGAGTAGATGTGGGTACTAATGACTGGAAAAAAACTCTCATCTAGGTAATAATATTAGAACATGACTACTCGCCATTTTTCGGCTTAGCTGCGCTAAATAGGGTTCCACAGTAGCAACTGATCTTATTACGTTGCTAAGATTAGAGAAATCTTCTGTAATTTCCAAGGAGAGTACACGCATCTGACAATTCATCTCCATATTAGATACTGCTGCAATGTAAAAAGCAGGTCTACCTTCGTCATGGTTTCTACTTCTACCAAAATCTCCATTATTTTAACATCGCTGAGTATATCAATTATCGGTTCTGAGAATTCCTCTTTATATTTATTTTGCACCATTTCATAGTAACAATCTAGGATTTCTGCCAAGTTGCTCGAAAGTCGGCTTAAGTCTGAATAGTGAATCAGGAATGGTTGCAATTCAATTTCCTTTTACTGAAGTATTTTAATTCAAAGCTGCAGCAATGATACTTTTATAGTCAGTCATGCAGAAAACGCTCTAAATATCAAAGTACTGCAGACCAAATTGCGATCGGGCTGGTGAAAGTTGATTACGGAACTAGCGAGTGATAAACGAACTTAGTGCTCTTCTATGCACACTGCGCAAATTTTAGGGCATATCTGTAACGCATATGGAATCTTGGTCATAAGACATACCAGATCTTGTTGACAATAGGTGGTCCTGTAGAAGCTCGATGCCATAGCGAAGCTGCTCAAGACTTCTATGAAATAAAACCATTCCAATGAGAGTTGTGAAGACACAAACTGTGAAAGGTATGGCGGCATAGAATACTTGCAGGCCGCTCACATCAAGCTGATATTGAAATGCCAATTTCAAATTGCTTGGTAGGGCCTGGCACAAGGTAGGAAGAACTGCAATTTATTTCCAAGAGGAAAGCAAGCAAAGGATATCGTGAATATGTGCTGCACATTGAGGTGCCTTTCAAGCATCATTGTTTACAAAAAAAGCGGATTCTTTG